AAAAAAAAAACTACGGGATATACTTATTAGAAAAATAGATAAGATGAATAAATGAGGTAAAGCAATATAATTAATATATTATCTATAATATTAGAATGAATTTTGGATGATTTTTAGAGTGGAAAGAAGAAATTTATTGCAGAATGAGACCCGGTCGAGATAGAGAGGAAAGATGAGCAAATATGATATGGGAAAAATGGACAACAAAAGATACGAAACAATACAAAAATATAAATAGATAAAAAGAAATAAGAAAAATAAAACATTTTATAAAGATATAAATAGATAAAAAGAAATAAGAAAAATAAAACATTTTATAACATTCCCAAAAACAAAAATGACCTTATCAGAAGTGGAAAACAGAAAATAGGAAATAACATACTATAGATAGATAGATAGACAGACAGATAGATAGATATTAAACGATATAAATATCAAATTTACATCTGAAAATTAATTAAAAAAAAAAAAAAACGAGGTCGCTTACAGAACAGAGACGAAAGTCACACACCTATCAAACAATCAGAAATCAAAACACAACACGCACACACTCAAAAATATCAAATAAAATAGATAAAATAGATAAAAATAGACCTCAAATTAACAGAAAAAAAACGAATAAAAAAACCCGTGGTAGCTCACAACACAGAGACAAAAGTCACACACCTATTACATAATCAGACGAAAGTCACACAACTATCAAATAATCAGAAATCAAAACACAACACCCACATTCTCAAAAAAATAAAACAAAAATAATAGATAGAACAGAAATTAACAGAAAACCCGAATGAAAAAAAAACCGAGGTCGCTTACACCACAGAGTCGCAAGTCCGGCCGGCAAGATTTCTCGCTCGGAATATCTACCGAATTCGCTTCTCCAAAGTCTCGAGGGCGAATGACTTCTATGCAGCCCCCCCCCCCCCCAATCCCTTGCCCGTTGTTGTCGTGGGGGGGCTTAGGAGGCGGAGACTGGGACCCAATGATGGGGAACTCCCTAACCTTGGGACTCAACCCTCGACTCAACTAATTATGCATGGTCTTTTTTTTCCCTTCCCACTTTTGTTTCTGTCCCTTCACCAAACCCTTCTGCTATCCACCTCCTAAGGTAGGAGAGCCGTGGTGAAAGGATGAAAGGCTGACTTTGTGCCAGTCCTGAACGGCCTGAGGGAGCCATGGGCACGGTATTCCCCTGATTTAGTTATCTAGCCCTTACCCCTCAAGGGGACCCTGAGGGGTGGACTGCTTTTATCCCCAACATAATCCAGGCTTCCCATGGCCAGTAATTAAAATATATCCCCACTGTTAGGGGCAATGAGGCTTGCCCCTTTATCAAATAGCCCCAACGAAGTAAACCCACCCGATTCCCCGACCCCAGGCTCTCCTTTGACCACGGCTCCAAACACTGCAATAACTACCCCTTCACCAATGCCTACTAGTACAGTAGCCAACAATCAACCCTCAAGGAACATTTCCACTCTCCCAGCATGCCCAACTTCAACACCTCTACCCCCACAACCTCCAACATCAACCACCCCATCCTCCTTTATTAATACCTTACAGCCTTATAGCCCACCTCTCCATAACACTACCTCCATCAACACTACTCCATCTTCGTCACGCCCTCGCCCTTCTACCACCCCTATCTCTAAAACAATCTTGAATACTCTCTTCAGTGCAGCCAAATGGGACCGATTTTTCGTGATCCCTCCCACAGCTCCCTACTCTGACAACACCCTTCTCTTCCAACAATGCCTCCAAAAACAAGTAGGTAAAGTCTCTTTCCGTAGCCGACCCGACCGCTCCCGTCTTGTAACAGCAACATCCGAAAACCAAGCTATAGCATTAACAAAACTAACTGACCTATATGGTAACCCCATCCAACCCTCAATACTTGCACCGGAACAGTCTCAATCTCACCAACAAATTGCCCAATCTATGACAAAGATTGGTCAGATTGTGGAGAAGATCTACTTGCCTGTCTCACAGACTACGATGCAACATCAGTACAATGCTATTCCATCCCCCCCAGAGGTCATCGAAAGAAACCCACTAACATAGCCAAAATTACCTTCCGTAGACATGACATTCCCTTTAACGTCTACATAGGAGGAGAATCCCTCCCTGTTCGTCCATACCAACCTCCTCCACGTCAGTGCCAAAATTGTTGGCGTCTAGGACACCCAGCCAAACACTGCCGTTCCACAGCCAGATGCCCATTATGTGCCCAACCTGGCCATACCCGATCTAACTGCTCTGCACAATCACGCACATGTGCCAACTGTGGCGGCCCCCATAATGTATTTTATAGGGGCTGTCCCACCTACAAATTTGAATCTGAGGTAACAACTCTCAGATTCAAACTCGGACTCACACTGCGTGAAGCCAGACAGGAAGCACGTCGACGTGGATTCTCTCTTACTCCTTACTCCAGTAATACTGCTCATTCTAACACTTCTCCTAAACCCACCCCTCCTACATCTAACCCCCCCACTTCTACCTCCTACCTTCCCCAGTCAAACTCTTTTGCCATCCTAAATCCAGAAACTCCAATCTCTACTACAGATACTCCAATCACCACTACAACCCCAACACCTTCCCCTCTCCCTCCTCGCACTCCCCGTAACAGACAGAACAAACGTTCCACCCCCTCTTCCCCTACCACACAATCACCCCCACCATCCTTTGCCCGTACTCTTGAGACACCAGTCCTCTCTTCCCCCCCTCACAAGAAATCCTTTATCCCCCAAAACTCCCCAACCAACTCCACAGAAGAAACTATTGAAAATATTCAAGATTACTTAATGAAAACCGACACTCAACCTACAACTCCTGCTCCTTCCACACTCCAAGTAATTGCTGATATCCATCCTCCTCCTAACGATATCCCCCCTACACCCTACCCTCCTACCCCCTCCCAACACAGCCCATCCCCCCTGACCCCAACCCTGCCCACATTAACTCTCCCACCATCCCCTCTATCCCTTCCACTCCCTCCTGGATACACACGTGAATCCCTTATGTCACAAGTATCCCCTTCCTCAGACCCTCCATCTCCTAATACCCCTCCTGATAGAACACCAACTCCCACACCTCTCCCATCTCAAACCTCTCAGTCCTTATCTCACCCTCTAGCTGCTTCCCCTTCAAATTCTCCAACACGTACTACAATCTATATCACTAAATCAACGAAAGTATAACTATCCTTCATTGGAATATTCGCGGTTTCCGCTCCCACAGACCTGACCATCATATCCTTTCCTCTTATAACCCATCTATTGTATGCCTTCAAGAAACCTTTCTTATGCATACCCTTTATCTAATATAACACCCGACCTTAACCCTTTCACTCACTAATTCCTTTGCCCAGCTTAGACAACTAATCACTAACTCAACCACCCTTCACTAACATTAACTATAGTGCTACATGACCTTAGATGTCTAGCACATTTATCTTGCTTTTAACCATTAACCATTAACCATTCTATGCAGCCCTTTTCCACAGCTCGCCGCCGCTCAATGGTATGGCAATGGGGGAGAAGGAGGGAGTGTGTAAGGGTGAAAAGGGAGGGAAAAGGTGTGTCGTCTGTTAACGTAGGCCTATGTATTTCTAACCTTCATTTTGTCCTTGGGATAATTATGGGCCATTAATCAACTCAATTTACAGCAAATTAATCATTATTGGGGTCCTAGAGTCATAGAAGTGTTCAAGATACAAAAGGGTTAATGTTGCCGTCTGCTTCAAATCGTATTGCAAAAACAAGATTTTGCAATAGGTTATTCTTAGTCACATTCTCAGTAACTTCTTTTTTTTTAACATCAGATATTATTTTAGATTTAAAAAAAATCTTAATTATGTAAGATCCTTCTAATGTTCATTAAAGACCTTGAGAGCTGTCATATATTTCCAAATAAAACTTAATTTGAAGTATAACAAATGTTGAAATATATTTTTTTAAATATATATATATATATATATATATATATATATATATATATATATATATACATATATATATATATATATATATATTTATATAGACAAATTAATTGATAATTTTTTTGACTCCATGAAGGTATATGGAAAAAGATGATTATATAGTGAATATATGGTCATATGTTTCTTGTTTTATTTCTTACCAACAGGAAATATTACAACATAGTTATATAAATAAAATTCATGAGTGGAAGTGAAAGAGAGGGAGTGAGAGAAAAGAAAAGAAAAGATAAAGAAGAAAAAGAAAAAAAAAAAATTAATGCTGACTCACATAAACGGAAATTAAGTCGATTATCTGAGTTGCAGCCGTTTCTCCTTTCTTCGATCGCGCTAACGCTGCGTTTACACCGAGCGAGTCGCGTCGAGTCGAGTCGCATCAAGTCATTTGAAGCGATTCATTTCGACGTATCTCCGTTTACACCGAATGCGTCAACCCGAGTCAAGTCACTACACAGTGACCCATTTGATTTCAGGGAGAATGGACGCATATTCTCTTGCTGTAGTAACTGCAGTGCTCTGGCTTCGTCGTCGCAGACGTAAAAATAAAACTCGAATCTGGATGCATCATCTGAACACCAGGAGGCCAGATTTCGGTAGCTTCAGTCATTTATTCCCAGACCTGGTAAACCATCCAGAAAAATTCTACAACTTTTTTAGGATGACAAATGAAAACTTCAAGAAGCTGGTGGAGTTGGTTGGACCTTCCATTAGGAAAATCAACACTAACTACAGGCGTGCAATAGGAACGGAAGAAAGAATGGCCATTTTTTTAAGGTAAGAGGTATTTTTATTGAACATTACAAAAATCATTACACGTACGGCAATAGTAAATTAGTGAGCTGATGGCAGTAATGCATTCCTGATGGTGAGTGAAACATGATCATCTAAATTACTTCTCAGAGGTTAAAAAACTGTTCATTATTCTGTACTAGTTGTCACTTGCATGGGATGTACCTGGTGACGGTGTTGGTGTATGTGATTGATTATGTTCAGTCCAGTACCCCTACTGGACAGAGGGTGCGGGCTTGAACATCTTCCTACGAAAGGCTTCATATATTTCAATTCTTATGTCCATGTTGTCAATTGGCGTCAGTTGTTTCATCATAGGCAGCAGGCTTAACAAAAACTGGCGATCTCCGTCATTATCATTTTGTGACGACGCTTTTCCTCTCAGTTGTTTTAGTTCCTCTAAGAAAACCAAATCCATCTCATCTGCACTGGCCTTGCTCTGTTTTTTTGCGATACAAGGCTTCTTTGATTTGGGAAGAATAGGCTTGTCATTGCTGCGATCCTCACAAGTTTCGACGTTACTGGCAGCCTCTTGAGGAGATGCATTTTCTGATGCTTCGATGACAGCAGAAAGTGAAGAATCTTGATCTGCATCTTCCGTTTCATGACAGGTGTCTTCATCAGGAGGTTTAGGGACGTTTGAAGATGTTGGTCGTGGCGTCACATAAGGGATCAGAAATTGCATGGCATCATAGTACACCCACCTCCTTGCCTGTGTATTACCTGATCCAGATGGTTTTTCACTATTCTTTCTTCTTTCCCTCATAAAATTGCTTCTTAGGTGGCGCCATTTGTCCTTACATTTGGGTTCTGTAAAAGAGTTAGATAAAATAAATCAAAGAAAGGAAGGAAACAAAGAGAGAAGGGAGGGCGAGAGAGAGAGAGAGAGAGAGAAAGGAGGAGAGAGAGAGATGAGAGAAGTAGGAGAGAGAGGAGAGATAGATAGGAGAGGAGAGAGAGAGAGAGAGAGAGAAAGATAGAAGAGTGAGAGAGAGAGAGAGAGAGAGAGAGGAGAGAGATGAGAGAGAGAGAGAGGAGAGATTAGAGAGAGATAGAGAGATGGATGAGATGAGAGGATAGAGATGAGAGATGAGATAGAGGAGATATATAGAGATAGCGATATTAAGTAGATAGAGATAGATAGAGAGATAGAGAGAGATATAGATAGATATAGATAAGATAATATATATATATATATATATATATATATATATATATATATATATATATATATATATATATATATATATATATATATATATATATATATATATATATATATATATATATATATTATATATATATAGATAGATAGATCTAAGTACCTTAAAAACGACAGGATTATATTATATGGTAAGTAATGAATGTCACTACTGAACGGTTATTTATTGTACCTTAACTCTTGTTACTATATTTCTTTTTAGGCATGTGGTTACTGGAGAATCTTTTACTTCCCTTGGTTACCAGTTTCGTGTCGGCAAGGCCACAGTACAAAAATGGAATATTCCTAACTGTATTGGGAGTATTGATGGCAAACACTGTCGCCTGAAATGCCCAGCTAAAGCAGGATCACTTTTTTACAATTATAAAGGATACCATTCCATTGTTCTGCTAGCTATTGTTGATGCCAATTGTTGTTTCACACTGATTGATGTAAGGCAATATGGACGAAACAGTGACAGTTCAGTTTTCACTGAATCAAACATGGGTAGGTCATTTCTCTGTGGTAGTTTAGGCATTCCACCATCACGTGAAATACCAAGTACTGTAACCAAAACACCCTTCTTTCTTGTGGGAGATGAAGCTTTTCCTCTGAAGCCTAACATTATGAGGCCATATCCTAGAAAAGAATTGGACTACCCTAAAAAAGTATATAACTATCGGATCAGCCGGGCTAGAATAACAGTAGAGCGTGCCTTTGGAATTTTAGCTAAAAAAAATGGTATACTTCAGACGTCAATGGAGACAAGTGTTGAAGTATCTGAAGCAGTGGTGAAAGCATTTGTGTACTCCATAATTTCATCCAACATGAAAACAGTTTCAACTACTTTCCAAGTGATGTTCATGATGCAACACATTCCCATTCTTCAAACTCAAGCCTGACTGCAACAAGAAGCAATAGGGCTACAGCAGAGGCTATGGCAGTTCGCGACAGCTTGAAGGAATATTTCATTTCCCCAGGTGGAGCTCTTGAGTGGCAAGACCGAGCGATCCATCGTAATGTGTAGTTCATAGTGAATTAGTCAAATATATAGTTCATAGCTTAATATGAATAAAATTGTTGTCTTACCTGTAACATGAACCGTATGTATACATTTAGTTCATAACCTTATTAAATGGTTCAAAATTAATAAAACTGTTGTCTTACCTGAATACAATATATGTATAGTTCATAGCCTAATAAATGGATCAAAATTAATGAAACAGTTGTCTTACCTGTACACGACAATGCAGCAGCAACCTCCTTCCATAGGGAAGCAATGACATCCGATCCCGGTGGTTGGGGTCACTGGGATCATAAATAGCAGGGCGCTCTCGAACTAAGTTGATTAGGTCTTCTACCAGCATACTTGCAGACACCACGGCAAACTCGCTGTGACTGACGTCAAAAATAGGCCCAGCTCTATATGTGACTCGACGTGACGCGACGCGAGAGGACGTGACGTGACTCGAAGCATCCGGTGTAAACGGTTTCGTTCAGAAACCCATACAAATCAATGTTATAGCTGGGGTGGCGATTCATGATGCGTCATGAATCATCTTGACTTGACGTGACTCGACTCGACGCGACTGGCTCGGTGTAAACGCAGCGTAAGAGGCTAAAAATCTAACCTAGTAAAGTCTAACCAACCTTAGCAGACCCTAGTCTAAGCGTAATCTATCAAACATTAATATTTATTAATGTTATTTATATATTTTTGATAATTTCAACCAGCGAGAAATAGCCATCACATTGATACATCTTTCACACACAGAAAATCATAAAGTATATATATGAACAGATTTTGCAACTTGCAAGAATATTAAATAAAATTTTTTGATAATGTCAACACACACATAATGACACACAGCCTTAGTCTATAGGTCCTGTACCTCGCCACCACTTCCTTCGTGCTAGAAATAGTCGAGTTCCTAATCACTTCCATCTCCAGTAAGGCTTGGAATCCCAAACACTAGAGCAGTAAAAAGATTCCTTAGCCCACCGAGCCGTTTAGTAACAGACCTCAGAAATAGGACTCTTTATTTTAACTGTAGATTTTCA